TAATAAAATATTTACAAAATGTGAGGGGAGTACTCACTTCTGTGATACAGTGTATACTGCCATCTTGTGTCCAGTAATATGTGTAAGTTTATATATTTAAGTTTTGCCAGGGGAGCATGCAAATGGCATTTCTTGGTTAAGCAAGCAGGCATCAATGAGTTGTTCTGAAGCATGTTTCATTCATTTTAATCTCTAACAATTTCATTTATCTTTTAATTTTAATTCTATTTTTAATAAAAGAGGCTTTTAATGTTCAATTTTTTTCTTGTAGCTCAGATTCTGGAACCTCAGAGGCTAGTCTGTCACCTCCTTCCTCCCCACCAAGCCGGCCCCGTAATGAACTGAATGTTTTTAGCCGACTTACTGTTTCTCAGGGAAACACATCAGTTCAGCAGGATAAGTAAGTCACGAAGGAAAGATCCACAGTGCTACTATGTGGATGTGCCCAAAGCATGTATGAGCCTGAAACATACCTTCAGAATGTTCATAATCTGGCCATTTTGTGCCAGAGATAAAAGTATAATTGCTGTTCACTTGTTTTCTCCTTATCCCCAAACCCAAATTGACATGGAATTGTCATAGTTCCACAGAATCTTTTTCCTGCTGAAATGTATTTGTCATGCTTGTGTAACTTCTGTTCCCCCAAGCTGTGAATGATCTATTTATCCTTGCTGTGTTCTTAAGTCATGGGAGCACCTTTGTGAGTTGCTGTGCTTTTGCACAGTGCAGTGTCAGTATTCATACCATTAGGGCCTAAACACCCAAATGGATTTATAGGTAATCAGCACTCTCATTCACCCACAAAACACGTGGTTAGGCTGGAGCAATAACATATAATAGGACTAGGGAAAACCTCAGTGCTGCTAGCACTGTTAAACAGTATTTTTAATGTGACGACAAGTATGAGTTGATCCAGAATCTTTATTGCAAGATTGCTGAACTTGAAGTGCTACCAAATGGTGCCTAACTCTCAGCTTGTGACTGTAGTATTGTAGGCTGATTGCTCTATTCTCTTATTGCTGATCTTTCTGCTATTTAATCTAATGTTTTCCTCTGCAATCTGGAGTTACTTTCTGTATCCCTAACCATTGCTTGCAAGCCTCCCAGTAGTCTAAGCACATGCTTCTAGCCATTTTATGCCAGCTAAAAGTAGTACCTCTGTAGGTGTAACCAATTGGAGATAATGTCATTTAAGGCTGTTCAGCATGTTTGATTTGCCATGAACATGAAGGATGCAATATTCTTAGTGATTAAAGACATACTTGCATGTAATATATTTAAATCTGTCAGATTTTTAAAAATGATTGAAAATTGAAGAGCAAAAATTATATCCTGATTCCTGAAAACAAACAAGGTTCTTAACTGCTTTGTTTTCAATCAATAATACTTCTTTTGAACATGGTTCCAAAGCAGATGCTAGCACTCTTAGCTTTCCCCCCTTTTCATAATGCATGTACAAATTAACATAAATGTGAGAGGCCACATTGCAGCCATTTCATCCATTTTTTCCATGGACTTCTATAATGGCTTGCACAAGTCTCTATGATATAAACTACATTTTTTTTTGGTCTGGAAAAACATATTTTCCAATATTACTAAACCTAGTAAGGCCAGTTTGGGTGCAGTTGGCAAACTGGCTTTGCTTATTTATGTAGCAATACTGTTGTTCATTCTTTTTTATTTTAATGGATTCTTTACTCTGCTGATACCTGTATTCTTTCTTCGTAATCCACCACTGTTCATTGTAGGTCTGATGAAAGTGATTCCTCTCTCTCGGAGGTACACAGGTACTCTCTCTTCCTCCTTTCCATCTTCTGGACTCTTTGTGATATGCTTAATACAATTACTGCATTTTTAAGTTAACTAACCTTTTTTTGCATGGTTTTTTTAAAATATAGTGTCTCCCAAAACTTTCATGCATTCCTTTCATCAAATTATTTTTAGTATTATTCCAATTATTATTTTTACTACTACTACCACTACTACTATTATTTTATGGAAGCATAAAGTAATTGTTTTGGGGATTTCATTTGTCCAGCATGTGCACTTTTTAAAGAAAGTGTGGGCAAAAATTCTCTGGGTGACACTCTTGTTTTTTTTTTTTCAAGCACATCTCTTTTTTTCCCCCTTTCCCCAATGATCTTGAACTTGATTGATTGATTGATTGATATGTTTTTTATCCTAAATCTGCTTTGCTGATAGCAAAAAGCTATATCGAACTGTGTGACAAAGTCAGTGTGTTAGTTATATGCCCTTACTGTGCCATTTTCCGTAATAGTTTGTATATCCTAAAGCTGCACAGTTTATTAGATTTGACAGGAAAATCTCTTTCATTGAAAGAAAACAAGTAAGAATAGTTACACTGGCATTTTTATTCCAAAATCTTAAGAACTGATACATCCCAATCTCTTTATTTATAATATGGGTTTCCTTGTATTATAATTTAGGAGATTAGGATTTAACAAAAGTAAAAGCTGCTTATAGATGAGCAATAACAAATTATAGAAAGGGATGAGAGAGTTCCATCTTATTAACCAGTATTCGGTTATGCTTTCATTCAGACATACGCAGAATCAACCATATATTGTCATCTCTTTCAGGCTTTGTCCTTCACATGGATTCATACTCCGCTGCATGCAGTAGCTTTTCCATTCATTTAACCGATGAGATAGATCCATGTATGCCTCTCTTGACACATGCTTATCTGCGCCTTCTCTTTGAATGAATATGACAATCCATGTGCACAAAAGTTCTGGGCACGCATTTGAGCACATACACTTTTCTTTGTAGCACAGAGCATGTCACCCTAATTTAACTATTTAGCTAATTTTGCTACTTGATTGTGTCACATAGTTTAGACTTTCTCCCCTTTCCTTAGCCCAATCATTGGGAAGGGGGAGTGCTTTCATTTTTTTAAAAAAATTACAGATTAGACACTCAACTTTCAGAGGCCTTTGAGGGATCACGTCCTCTCCACTGTGCCACCTGAAACTTCTGCTGAATTGCTTCATTCTTGACTTTTTACTGGTACCTGGTTTTCACTATGCCTGGCCAGTTCACATTAGTATTTTTTTTCCCCTCTTAAAAAACATCAACAGTTTTTAGCTAGTGTTTCTGCAAGTCTTTATTGCATCTGAAAAGTCCAAATCTGTAAGAGATAGGGAGTCCAAAATAATAACATTTTAAAGGAATATCTGAAACCAGCTCCAGCTTTTTCTAACTGCCACATCAAAGTTTAAATGCTCTTCATGCCATCTAACTTTGAACATGCTTTTCTTTCTATTGCATTCTTAAACCATCCATTTTCTTCTCACATGGAATTCCACTGAATTTATTTACTTCTTCAATGTATATTATATTATACATCCATATCCAGATTTAGTCATATTTAGAATAGACCCATTGAAATAAATGGTATTCAAGTTAAGCATAAGTTTCATAAGGCCCACTGATTTTGATAGGTCTGCTCTAAGTACGACTGAATTAGGTTTAAGCCCTCTAAATACCAACCTAAATCTTACCTTTTTGTTACTGAAACAGCTTTTTCACACACCTTTCAATAGCTGTAGAGAGAAAATCTTCAGAAACAACTCTTGGACTATTCTAGAAACAATGAGTGCTTCTTTTTACATTCTGAAGTACAAATGCTCACTTTCTTCATAGGATTGGCCCCTGAGCAAAGGTGTTCATGCTTTAGAGATGGATCCACATCCACCCTTCCCAAAAGGATTGCTCCATCAGTCCCTAGGAACCATGTCTTCAGCAAAGCTTTTCCTGAGCTATCTTCATTTTGTTTTATCTCTACTACTGCTTCACTCCATGTGTGTAATCTTCAGTATCATTTGTGTCAACACCTGGCTATTCCTCAGAGGTTGTCTTAGATAGTAACCTACTAGGGATGGAGCCTTGAATCTTTCACTGGACACTCCAAATCTCTTGTTGAATATTTTCCTGACCGTGCTGCTGTCCAGGGGCACCTGCTAAAATATGGATCTGGGACCATGATTACCTCTGTTCAATCAAATCCCCCTAGATTTTTGCTATATGCCTATGGCTTTTGCTTATATGTCAATCACTTTGTGCTGCCCCATTGAATCTTTCTGCCCAAGGACTTTTTTTTAATCAAATGCCCTTTTCCCCCCTGTTCATATAGTGTCCTTGGAGATGGGGCCCTTTAAATGTAAATATATATCTAAATTGTACAAGATCCTTTGTCCTGTGGGACTGAGCCCTGAATCTTTTTAGTATCTAGCACTGGCCTCCTTTTCTCTGTTGCTACATTATCCTCCAAACATGTAACTATTAATCTCTCTCGTCAAGATGTAGGTTTGCATTAAATAGCAGAAGTCTCTTCTTTGGCCATTTTACAAAATCAAGGCCAGTCCTTTAGGGTGCAGTCATGGTGATGGCTAGACAGACAAATGGCCTACAATTCTCAGCATGCCGCAGCCAGTTGTTCCAAGTTGTAGATTTTTTTCTCTGTTCAAACATGGATATGATCACATTCTTGCTCAGTTATTCAAAATGTAGGTTTTTTCCTACAGTGTGGCACAGTGGTTTAAACTGCTCTGCTGCTGGGCTGAAAGGTAGCCAGTTCGAATCTGCACAATGGGGTGAGTTCCCGTTGTTCTGTCCCAGCTCCTGCCGACCTTGCAGTTCGAAAGCATGCAAATGCAAGTAGATAAAAAGGTACCACTTCAGTGGGAAGGTAACAGCGTTCCGTGCACTTTGGTGTTTAGTCATGCCGGCCACATGACCACAGAAACTGTCTGCAGACAAACGCTGGCTCCCTCAGCTAGGAAATGGAGATGAGCACCGCCCCCTAGAATCAGACATGACTGGACTTAACGTCAAGGGGAAACTTTTACCTTTACTTTACCTTTAAAACCTTGATAAACAAAGAAAATTCAAAATATACTGCTTTCCTTAAGCAGTGTAGTGTACTTTTTATCTGTGGTTTCATTGTGATTCTTCTTCATGGTCCCAGTGCATCACACATAACAGTTTCCATTGTTTAACACCACAATAAAACCAGTAGGAACAGAGGTGTGAAGGGCCAAAACAAAATAACAAAAAATGATTTTCTCCATTTTTGTCTGGCTCTCTACAGCTTAGTAAAACACATACTAACAGCAATGTTTAGGACAATGTCCATTGTAACCCACATCCATGCCAAACCTATTAAAAGCCACAAAGGCCTTCTTTAATGTGAAGTTCTTCACTTGATGACAGAAGCCAAACCACAACTCTTTGGCAGAGAATTCCAAAGCACAGGTGCCATGCCAGGAAAGGCTATGCCCATTACCTTAGAAAATTCCACCTGGGAAAGAACAGAATCTGCAGTAGGACCTCACCAGCGAATCATAGAGAGCAGGATGGTAGAAGACATGGAAGAATGTGCTCCTTCCTCTAGCAGTTGTTCGAACAAATCACTCCACAGGAAATCATAGTAGTAAGGTCATCACTTGGATTCTTAATCACCCACTCAAAAATTGATGTACAAATCAGCTGCAAAATGGCTTGATATCTAAGGCACCATTTCAGATGGATTCCAGAAGGTTAGCTATGATTCCTGTATTTTCTCCACTCCCCTGCTGCCAAATCAGCTGCTGTGTTTGCAGTTTGTTGCATTCAATATCTCTCCAAGTACATAAAATACAAAATTATACAAACATTACCCATGATAAATATGTTTTTGTTTACAGGCCGTTTTTCTAATGCATAATTATTCCCTTCCCCTCTAATGCTATTCCTGCTAGTCTTTGAGTCGTGTATTGTTCCTCTTACTATCCAAATTACTAACAAAGAATTTCTCTAATGTAAGATCTTCCCCTCTGGAAATATGGAAGGCATATTCTTCCAGATCAACTAGTAAAGTTCAGAAGCTTTTACATTTTATATCTCCACTTGATTTTATACTTCAGATGTCATATGTGGCATTGACCACTGAAATATATTAATTATGCAAGATCACATAATGCATATAATTGTTTGAGGGCACTCTTTTATACTTTTAATAAACATAGCAAACTGGTTATTTTTTTACTTTGCTTATGAGAAAAGACAATGTGATGGTTCAAATTCTCATCACTGCATGGCCGCAAAAACAGAATCATAGTGTAGCATGAAAGGCTGTCCCTTCTCTTTCCCCATCCCCTTCATTGCAGGTCCAGCGTCAAATGCTCTTCTCACAGGGCTCAAAAGCAACACATTTACAAATACTTAAATTATGAACCATTCCAGGGTTATTTTTGCATTGAGTAAATGTTTCACTTTTGTATAGGATAAAAGTCTGAAGATGTCAACCACCTAGATTTTAAACTACTATTCTAAATCTTGGCTCTTCAGTATGCCTCTTGTATGAACCAATTTCCCCTTGCTGCTTGTTAGGATTCCTGTACCTCATGATATTTATTTTATTTCTAAAGACTTTTTTAAAATTGCGAGGCTGGTGTGATGCAAGACAAAATGCTGCCCTATAATACCATCTTTATTTGGGTTCCAAAAATGTTTTTGTGTTTTGGAGTTCAGACCCCATCTTTGTGTTCACTTATATTATTTTGCTATTTTTCTTTTTACATTACTAGTTTGCCTTCTGGGTAATTAGGATTTTATGAGTAACCATGATAACCATTTTATGAATGGTCTGGTACTTCCCTGGCAGTTATTTTGTGACAAAACTCACAGTACTTTATCAAATGTGACTACCCACTCCCAAAATTTGGGGACTTCTCATTGCAACTCAAGAGCCAAATATCAATGGCTGCTAAACAGGAGGTCAGCTCAGTGGTTTCATTGCATTTCCAAACAAGCAAAGAGTGCATCTAGGACCCCCTTTCAACTGGGGCATTTGTGGTTCACTCTGTTTTGGACTTGGGGCCTTCCATGCTGCACACAACATACAAGCCCAGGCGCGCAGACACAGCTTTCAGCATGGTGATATTTGCTTGTATGGTGTATGCCCAACCACGTGCTCTGCCTGTATGGTTGAGCTAATCTGATCCTGAAAGCATGTTTTTAAATTGACACTCATTGAGAAGGGAACACATTTAAGTTCTGGCTTGTACCACTGGTTTGGTGGTACAAATTCACAGAAGAGCAAATACCCCATAAACCAAATGCTGTGTGCCTCAGGCTAGCACCATACATGCCAGGCAGTTCTCTGACTTGAATATGATTTACCTAAATATTTTAATTAAATAGTATTAAAGTGAAACAGAAATTGGCACTAGCCATTAAAAGAACAACTGCCATCGTAGAATCTAAGCTTTCATTACCCTAAAGGACATCTTTAAGAAATGTCTTGCTATATAATTACATAACACATAATTTGAGCCAGTGTGAAACTGCATTTTCCTCTGGTACCAGAAAATGATCAGCACATAAACCAAAGATGCTTTTGCATGTGTCACTAAAGGTTCCCCTTGAATTTCAATAAATCTCTTGTTGAACAGTGCAGAAAACAGAAGAACCATGTATGAATTGCCTGTTTACTCTGACCATTAGATAGAATCCAAAGAATGCTAACGTTTGCCTTAGATTCATTTGTGAAAGCATCCAAACACCATTCCATTGCTTTGTAGCATTTCCTACTTCATGATGTTGCAAGCAAAATCTTGCCTCTCACTTTCTCTCTCTCTCTCTCTATTTATTTATTTATTTATTTATTAAAACATTTCTTTGCCGCCCCTTGCCGTAGCCTCGGGGCGGCTCACAACATAGTAAAATACACAATAAATTAAAACATTTAGGCTTGCTAGATGCTTATTGTCACACAGTAAGGCGTTGTTCGGTATATGTTGCATGTAGCAGATATTGCAGAAGCCTTAATGAAGCCGGTGAAGTATATTTAGGCAGTTGCTAAGGGTAGGTCATGAGAAACTAAAATCTTTGTGCTCTCCTATCCTACTCTTGTTTTAAAAGTCATCAGTTTAAAAAAAAATCCATTTTTTAATTCGTCTTAAGATAGAATTTGGATCTAGGTGAGTGAGTGGCCTGAGATGCAAAAGGCAGTGTAATTCCACAAAATTCTTTAGTTCATGGCATGTCTATGATCAGGGTTGGCCTACTTATTGAGATGTTCCTTGTATTGGGAGTGGAGTGCCTTAGGAACATGAACTCTGTTGTGGCTGGACAGTAGAACATATTATTGGTCTGTGATTAAGCAAATTTATTTCCCTGCTTAATCCACAGCTTATAAGATTTCCAGGAAACCAAGGATAGTTGGGGGGGGGGGGATGACAGCAGTGAAATATAATGGATTTGTCATAAGTACTTACCCACAGTTCTTCTGTTTCCTTACACAGGGGTATAATCAACCCATTCGCTTCTTCAAAATGTGTCCGATCTTCTCCTATTCAATGTATTCATATTGCTGAAGGTCATACAAAGGCTGTGCTGTGTGTTGATTCTACCGATGATCTCCTCTTCACTGGATCAAAAGGTTTGGCATGTCTCGCCTTTGTATATGGAGCTTTCTGGGTACTAATCTTTCTGGGTGATGAGGGTAATGAAGGAAAAACAGAATTCTCTAAGAACCTGACTATATGTTACATTAATCATGTGAGATCCATCATAGAATGGCTGCTTTTCCTTATTTGTATTCTCATGGGTTTTTCTACACATCACATTTATTGTGCATTTATCATTCCCCAGTCATGGCTCTTTATGGGTGGTTTAGATAACATTGTCAGCCTCTTGTTTCTCTTCTGTGGCTAAAGAGTACTTTGGCAAGTTTTTTTTTAAAAGAACAAGGAAAGTAGGATACATAATTGTAAAACTGAAGGAAATTTATATTTTGCTTGAATATTTGTGCTAAACGTAGAGATTATATTGCAGAAAAGCAGGAAATGCTGGTCTTGTAGTGCCTAGATCTCTGTTCTGTAGTGATAAGTAGATGAAATAGATTAACAGCCAAATAAATGCCTCATTTAGAAAAGCTCCATGTATCTCTCTGACTGGCAGCACATTTTCTCTATTCTTTCCCCTCCCTGGTTGCTAAGGGCCAAAAGCAGACATTACATTAAGTGAGGGATTCTGAGTAAGTGAGGGATTGCATGCAAGTGTGAGTCAACTGTAAGAAGCCAGTGGGAGGATGGTTTTGAGACCAAGTTGAGGGAATGGAAGGGCAAAGAAAAATGAAGAGTCATACAGCATTTATGCTTGGTCAATTGTTGCCTTGGCTTGGTCAATTTTTCCCAGCATCAGGGTCTTCTCCAATTGTCCTTCCTTCTCATTAGCTGACCAAAGTATTTGAGTTTCATCTTCAGTATCTGGCCTTTTAAAGAGTAGTCAGTGTTGATCTCCTCTAGGACTGATCTCCTCTAGGATTCTCCTCTAGAATCTTCTCCATGCCATGTTCCTGCCATGCCCTGTTCTGAATGCCATTGCATATGTAATGAGTGTCTGCTTCTCTGTAGTTCTTCTCAGTTGTTGGCCCCCAGTTGCCCTTCCCAGAGAGGACGACCTGGAGTCTACCCTGATACGCATTTTTACTAGGCTCCAGATAGGCACCTTTACATTCTTGCAAATTTTTTCAATTGATGTGTATCCTTGCTGCCTGGTGTAAGAATTTTTTTAGATCTTTCAGGGGATGCTGCTAGATGTTTTAGCTTCTGCCACTTTCAAATTGATATTTATTTGTATTTATGCATGTTGCCCTGAGAACAATTTGTTATAGGGAAAGAAGATAAATACATGTATCTATATTATGCAGAATAGCGCTGAATTATTCACATTGTTGTTCTTTTTTTAGATCGCACTTGTAAAGTATGGAATTTGGTAACTGGACAGGAAATAATGTCGCTGGGTGGTCATCCCAACAATGTTGTATCTGTAAAGTACTGTAATTATACCAGCTTGGTCTTCACAATCTCCACATCTTATATTAAGGTGTGGGATATTCGTGATTCTGCTAAGTGTATTCGAACTCTAACGTAAGTTGGAACCCTAATAGGAAAAATTTAATCTCAAAACATTTGACTTAGATTTTGCACTAAGCAATATGAGAATGGTAATTTATATGAAATATCCACGTTAAAGCCTACGTGCTTATATTCAACACATTGAATTGACAAATTGGAAGACAAGCTGTAAGATCTGCAGGCTGAGAGAAATAAAAATGCCCTGTAGCGCAGGGATGGAAAGGGAGGCAGGAATGTCGCCGCTGACCTTACTCTAGTGGGCATTTAATTAATAACTAGGTGGGCTGAAAATTGAGACTACATAAGTAAAGGTGATGGGCTTAGGTGAAGAGCTGCATATGGAAAAGACTGAAACAAGGGAAGTGAGTTAGTAGGAAGGGAAGCGTTTTCCTTCTTGGCAAGTTCTGTTTTAGGAGTTCTTCTGTAATAGGAGTTAAGGAGAGCTTTTTGTGTCAGACTATGGATCCAGCTGGGCTGGTTTGCCTCTCCAAAGGCAGAGAGAACTTTCTTAGGCCAACTACCTGTTATCTTTTTAACCAGAGATGCCAAGAGTAAACCTGGCACTAGAAAGCATTTTGTGTGCCATGGAGCTATGGTTCATCCCCCCCCCCCCCGGCCGCCGCCCACATTGCCAATGGGACATTTTATTTCACATGCTGACTTCTTTCAGTATGGCATGCCGGTATGTTCATGTAAAATAGCTTATCTATACAGAGCGGGTTTGGCCAATTTTAGAAGTCTGCAATTCTGGAGACTTTTGGGAATAGGCCAACTACCTACCTATACCATGATCCACAAATGGTATCTTCCACAAGGTAACCAGGAAAGTTACTTTACAATGGATAAATATTACTAGGTTTTGGCATTTTAATTCTTGTTTGTATTCTTGTTTCTGAAGGGCTGCCCATCTGTTTCCTTTCCCATAGTTACTTGCTTAGCATTTTTGAAATAGACTTAGCAAAGCAGATACAAAATGGCATGCATGAAATGTACAAAACATACATATATTTATTGGCATGCATATATTTACACAAAATATAAATATACAAAATTGTGTACATATATTTATTTTAAAATAAATATGTGGGAAGTTCTATTTCTTAACCATTTGGAAGTTTTGCATATAAGGCAAAACTGCCCCATCATTTGTGCATAAATAGTATGAAACGTGCATGTGAAATTGATGAAATTTCTGTTTCCCACCCCACAATTAGAGTTGTATGCTAAATTTCCTCTTGTTTTCCTGTACGATGAAGGTCTTCAGGCCAGGCAATGCCAGGTGATGCTTGCTCTGGAAATACCAACAGAACAGTGACAATTCCTGCTGGAGAGAGCCAGATCAACCAGATAGCCCTAAATTCAACAGGCACTTTTCTATATGCAGCTGCAGGAAATGCCGTGAGAATGTGGGACCTGAAGAGGTAAAATTGTACACATCTTTTTCTGAACATGCAAATACACAGTTGAGCTGCTGAGTCTAGAAACTTCTGGGGTTGCAGATTGCCTGCCCTGCAACACTCCAATCTGCTTGGCAACTGTGCCACCCCAGCAATATTTTTGGGCAGGGTTGAGGTAGCAAGGATTTTACGAATGTACGAGGCCCTTTGGACATCACTGGCGGGGCCCTTCTTGTTCTGTGTTTGTGGTAGGAGCGCAAATGTCTATGTCAGAAGCCCTGAGCCATGTGGGTGTCATCACCATGGGAGGTGGGGCTGAATTTCAAATATAACATGAGACGGGCCCCAGATGTTGCTATTGATGCCATTGTTTGTCAGTCTAAATGTTTCTGTGGGTGTGCAGACCAAGTTCAGTAGTCCTCTTATTTGTAAATGAAAATTGGGGTGTGGCATAGCGCATCTCCAAATTGGAGGGAGGGCTTCTGCGGACTTCTAATGTGAACCGTACCCAGTTTGTGAGAGGGAATATGTGCCAATGGCCCATTCAGGACACACAGTGTTCTACAAATCTGGAAAAGTTCACACCATTATAATTTTGAATCTTATACTTAACAGCTATCTCTAATGACTATACATTGTCAGGTAACTTTTTAATTTGGCCAGTTAAATAAACAGTTTCCAGAAATAGGTGCTGGGACAATGCTGAATACTGTCCACTAATTTAAACTGGGTGTTCCTGCAGCTTCTAATGTTTAATTCCCCCTTCTACCTCATTTATCTATATGCAGGGATCAAATATTGATATTCAGTGCAGCTCTGAAGAAATGATTTGGGGATATGTTCTTTTTTCTCCTTAAAATATTTAGAGCTAGATTTCAGATACATCTGAATCGCTCTACTTATGTCTTCTAGGTTTCAGTCTACAGGAAAACTAACTGGGCACCTGGGCCCTGTTATGTGCCTTACTGTAGACCGCATTTCCAATGGGCAAGATCTCATCATTACGGGCTCTAAGGACCATTATATAAAGGTACTCACCTGACTCATACATGATGGTGGCAACCTGTGAGTTAAACAATTCAAAGTTAAGTGACAATTGGTTGTTAAGTTAACTGAGAGGTGTTTAACCCGTGATTAACGTACAGTGCCCAAGTTTGAATGTCATATGGCAACTTTGATCAGGGATTGAATATTCAAAAAAAGCTATGGAATACACACTGCTGCAAATTCTGAGTTAATTAACCCATGATTTGCTATCTCTATGTGCAAACAGCCTCAGTATTTCCTGTTTCTTTGCAATAGTAGTAATACTATTGCAGGCTTCAAGAACGAACCTTCCCTCTATTTTCTCTCTTGTTTTCCTTACAAGTTTTGGAAAAACATTGTGCAATCTTATAAAAGGATGCTTTGCCTAGATTCCATAGACGGTGCTATTAGTATGTCTTCTCCTTCAAGTGTGAAGCCTAGTCAAGCTGTTATTCTTTGGGGCTCACATGTGCATGAAAAATATCAATACTTTATTTAATTAACAATCTTCAGGCACTGTACTAGCATTTTATTTTTATGTTGGAAAATAAAAAGTGGGGGCTCTGCTGGTGTAAAATTTAACTCTTTATTTAATGAATGAGGCTCTTAACTCCAGGTTGCTTTTACACCATTTCCTAAACATTACCAGCAGACACCTATGTGTGTCTGCTCAGAAGTTAGAACCACTGAATAGGACTTACATCGAGGTATATGTGTATAGGATAGCAGCCTGAATGTCAATAATTATTGTTGCTGTTGTTGTTTTTAGAATTATTTAAAATGTTACTTTTGGCTTCTGATTAATTCCGATATGTAGGCTTTTATTACTGTTGTTGCATAATGGCCAAATGGACAAGCAGGGGCATATCATCTTTAATCTGCCACTGGTATACTTCTGTTTATTCAGAATAATTGCTTGGATGTCCTTTTAATTTGCTAATGATGTAATGAATGTTATCTCTTGAGGCTGCTATGCTCATAAATTGGGAAACTAAAAGCTGTTGTGGGAAGAGTTCAATAAATGGTTTTCTAGATGATACTCCAACACCCATTCTTTGTGATATTACAGACCTGAGATGGTAATGGTATTGTTTACTGAGAAAACACTGAGATAAATAAATCTGTTTTGGATTATATATTTCAGGTTTATTGGCTTCCATGTCTTACTAAATACACAATTGTTGTATTCATTTAGTGGTCACTGTTGTTGTGCTATTCCAACTTTGACTCAGATTGGCTTAATAATGGAGCTTCCTGGTTAGCATTTCCTTGCTTATTATTCCGTTAATGGCTGATCAGACCATTCAGCAGATTTAAAATATTTCACTTCTGTTCCAGATGTTTGATGTCACTGAAGGTGCTCTTGGAACTGTAAGCCCTACACACAACTTTGAACCCCCTCATTATGATGGCATTGAAGCACTTACAATTATGGGAGACAACCTCTTCAGTGGATCCAGGGATAATGGCATTAAAAAGTGGGACTTAGCTCAAAAAGATCTAATTCAGGTACTCCTTAGACTTTGTTGAATATTCAGGTGTACAAACTCTGTAAAACAAAGCTAGGTAAAACTGAAATTCTTCATGGCAGTGTAAAAATGTAATAAGTAAATAAATGGTGTATAAATGTACTCTAAGGGATTTGCATCTTGAAAACTGATATGAGGACCCAAGCATTGTTGGGTTAAAAATGATGGGTTGCACTTTGATTTCAGATGGTTCTTTGTTGCTGTCTCTATGCCTGACACATGTGGGCTTTGCTGCTAGCACAAGACCTGGATTGGAGAGAAACTTTGATAGCAAATTGACTTCAACTTGAAAGTGATAAATGAGAGGTTGCGCATGCTACATTCATGGAATGTGACAAAATTCTGATAGACTTTCCAGCACCCTTGACATGGAAAGGTCTCATTCTGAATGATTGCAGAGGACAAATTTGACTGTAGAGGCTCGAAATAGGAGGCATGCACTCTAATCTCAAGATAGGTAGAGCTGTGTGCAAATGACTTCTCAAGATTCTCCCTGTTATTTGTGGGCAGAGAAATGTGGGAAGCAATTTTACCTAATTTCTCCTTAGGAAGGATAAATTCTCCAAATTTCCCACAGGTAGAGCTCACCATCGGTGGAGGATGTAATACCACTTCCATCTGTAGTTTTTTTACTGTGTGCAAGTGGTAGCATCATCAGTTGTGTGGCATCCTGGCCCCCATTTTGTGCTCTCCATAGTGGCTCATACCTAGATTTGTTCTGAAGCATTGTTGTGGGCAAGGAAGGTGGAGCCCATGGAAGGAAGGAAGGAAGGAAGGAAGGAAGGAAATGAAAATATGGAGAACATTCTGCAAAGTAGCATTTTATTTCTAGGGGAAAAAACCCTTCGGACCTTTCTTGACAAAAATATAGGACAGGAGAGCCTGGAGAAATGTTGTCCTTGGGGTCGTGATGGGTCGAGCACGACTTTGTGACTAAACAAACTATTTATCATATTTCAGGATAAATGCACCCCCCCCCAAAAAAAACCTTTCCAGGTGTTGAATTTCTGAGGGTTGATAGTGGACACATGTTGCTTTTAAAGCAGATGCTCATAATATCGCTAGTTCCCTGAAAATCCTGTAGGCAGCACTGTTTTGTCCAATTCCAGAGAACAAGTGCTGTACCAAAATCTGTCTTCCAATTTCTTTAAACTTTCTTCCTCTAAGAAGTCCCATTTTTCTTCCTTGTTCTCAGGACATTTTATAATTTGTTTGAATTTCTTTTGGGGATATTTGTGTGCTTACCTAATCACTGCAAGGTAGTGGATAATTCTGTCTCTGTGCTTATTTTTCCTTTTTGTTACATGGCTCACCAGTGCCCCACAGCCTCCCAGGCTTCCTAATTTGAAAGAGTTCTCTGGGAGGAATTTCCTCAGGATATCTTCCCTTGGGCTTTAATTGAAACGCAGGAAGCCCAAGAAGCTACATTCTTCTGGAGAAATGTTTGTGCAGTGTAAGATAGGAAACACACATGCACACACACTCCAGCTCATAATTTGGGTAACAATAATTCCAAATTAAAATCTTTATTCATAATTTATTTTTGAAACCAATTTCTTTTCTATCAAAATTGGGTTGAGAATGCTTGAAAAAATGTGGAAGAAATGTTGAGCAAAGCACTAATTGCAGCATTGCCAGCTCATTCTGGTAAACAAATAATAGATTTGTTAAGATATTCCACATGTGACACTCTACACTGTGAAGTGTAACCCGCCATATTCATGAATATGATATGCACATTATTCAAATTTACATACCTAAATGTGCAAATTACCATCTGGGTGACCTGATATGGACTGTTTTGCATGTAATAACAACCTAGGGTATAGGTTGAAAATGACTTGCCCTCAAAATGTGAGAAGTTGTTATGTGCAAACCATGCATGTGAGTCTTTAAGCACAAGTGTTCACAGCACAAGTGCTCGTTATTTGTTTTTCGGGGCCAGGCTAAGACCTTTTTATTTAAGCAACATTTTAAATGCTAAATACAATTGAATTTTATCTGGCCAGGGCGGCTTATTTTATAATGTGTGTTTTAATTAAGATTATTTTATATGGATATTTTAACTTATTGTTTTATCTATGTTGTAAGCCGCCCCGAGGCTTCGGCAAATGGGGCGGCATAAAAATATTTTAATAAATAAATAAAGTGTTCATAGCACAAGTTTCACAACCCAAGAAAAAACCGTTTATGTTGTTTGTGGCTAACATCCTATGGATAAATCATAGTGTGGGGTTCTTGTACAATGGCAACCCATGATCCAAAGGCAACCCATTACGTGTGAACCAGGCTGTCATTTTCAGAGCCAAACTAGTTGCCTGTCCCTGATCTTGTGGTTTATCATTTCAGCAAGTTCCTAATGCACACAAGGATTGGGTATGTGCTCTTGGACTTGTGCCTGGTTCCCCTGTGCTTCTTAGCGGTTGTCGTGGAGGAATCCTGAAGCTTTGGAATGTAGACACTTTTGCGCCAATAGCCGAACTGAAAGGTCATGACAGTCCTATTAATGCTATCTGCACCAACTCCAGCCAGATTTTTACTGCATCAGAGTAAGTTACTGTAATGCTCTTTTAAGGAAATTCATTTCTGTAATAAATTATGAACATTCCAGTTCATTTAAAACACTAATATTTACATGATTTTTTTAAAAAAATGTATTTTAAAAAATAACAATAGCACACACAAACATAGCAAAAGGTTATAATCCCTTGTGCATTGCATGTTGGCTAGTTTGTGTTTTTTTATACAAAGATCTGATCTGATGACAACACAGGTAGGTATTAATTGCCCTAGAAGTACTAACAGCCCCTAGAGTGCTTTTCATTGCTTTTGCAGCAAGTACAGAAATTTAAAGGGCTTCTTGTCAACATAGTGAGTCATTAAGCATATGGATTAATTTTCCTATACAGATGGGCTGGGGGGGTCAAAGGTGACCTCCAAGGTGTGTGTGTGTGTGTGTGTGTGTGTGTGTGTGTGTGTATATATATATATATATATTAAAAGCCCTTAACCTATGCCAGCTTCTGCATTTACCTAAGGTAGCTGCAATAGGAAGGTGCTAACAGTTCATTATTTTTGTTTACACCTCCATGAAATCTTAAAAGAAAAATGCTTGAGTATGGTAACAGGGATCTATGATCGCATGATGGGACATTGCACAGGAAATTGTCACCTCATTGTAACTAAAGTCCTCCTGCTCGAGTGGGTGGCTGTAACACATGCCCTATTACTGTGCCATAACCAAAGCTACGTGCTTAACTGTGTTCTCATATGTAGTTGATTTAGTGAACCTAAGGTCTCAGGCAATCATGTGCTAAATGCCTCTTGATTCTGTTAATTGTTTCTAGAAATCCTACTGGTTACTTCTAAATATGATACTTTATGGAGACTTTTAGAAACATACAGATTATCTTCTGTTTATAAGAAAAATATTACAGTGATTTGAAACTAGGAACCTGTCTTTTGAAACAAATCTGTTGCATATATTCCACAGTAACATATTCAATCAGTGTAGTGAAAAATACTGGAAAGTCTTTGTTTGAGATTAAGTCTCAAAAAGCCACTTCCAGCAACTACCTGCTTAAGGAAAGAGTCCAAAGATTGATTAGTTCTTAATTTATAGATAGATAAACTGAAAAACAAAGTTTTGCAGCTTGTTTCCTTGTTTATTTGATTGTTTATATGTGTTTTACAGTGATCGGACTGTGAGAATCTGGAAAGCTCCAAACTATCTAGATGGACAGATCTCAGATCCTGGTGATACAAGTGAAGATGTTGCCAGTAATTAAACAGGAGTTGCAGGGCCAGGCATCTTCAGCGATGGCAACAGACTGTTCTCACTGCAAGCTGTCTTGCATTTGGAAAGCAAATAGTAGCAGCTGGGATGGAAGAAGCCTGGAAGATACAGCTCAACCCTGCTCTTAAGTGTGTTGTGTTCTGCTAAAACTGCTGCCCTTAAGAACTTCCCTGTGTACTGTATCTAAATCACTAGTCTGTTGGTTATATAGACTTGCTTGCCTCACATATAGTGGCTGATTTGTGTGCATACGTAAGCCTTGTAAGTTAAACAAACCAGAAGGCTGTTGTCTTGAATGACAGTCTTAAACTGTAATCTAGAATAATAAAGTGCCCTGTGTACCTCACTCAGTGACCCTTCTGTTCAGCTGAATGTCACTTCACAGTTGTATGGAATGTGCTGGTGTATCTGTAGTCTCGTTTCCAAAGCCTTTAAGAGAAGAGAACTGGAACAATGAGGGTCAGGGGGGGCGTTCCTAAAATGTTTACTTATGTTTGCTGCTGTAATAAATGTTAAGACTGGAATCTCAATAAATAGAAACAGATGACTGCCCTGACTGTGTCATGCTAACAGTGACTGCCCTGCGATCTGGATTAATTGTTAGCATGTCTTCTTGTTGACCAAAGTTGTGCAGCTGTGTCTCCTCTGTGCTCAGGACTAGACTAAAATGCTATTGAATTGTTAACATTTTATTAGTGCTTTGCCTACCACAGTATTCTTACAAAATACCTATTTTTCTTATGGACCTCTTTCTATCATCTCACCCTTTTTGTTTTATTTAAAAAAGGCAAGGTGTCCTTTCTTTTAATCTAATAATCTGATGTGCTGCTAATATATTTTAAATATGTTTGTGAACTTTGGTGGGTACTTAAACGAACTGTACCAACAGTGTCAACAAAGGCTGTGTACATACATGGGTTGTAAAGACGGACTATAATAACAATGCGCCTGTGTGAGAATTTTTAAAATGCTGTTAGAGTGTGGATATTGAGTGAGAGGGATGTATAATTTATCTAGCTTTTCAGGTCATTAATTTGTAAATTCAGCAAGTTTTAAAAGTGTATACTAGAGCCAGAATCAGTGTTTTATTGTGTTGCTGGGTTTGCTTGCAGAGAATATGAGCTTGTAAATGTACAGCTTGTAGTAGTTGATGCTAAAATAAAAAAAACAACTGAATGTGAACTGTGATTGTCACTGCCTTTATTTGGCACGCTACTGAAGAAGAAATTGATATTCTAGGGTGAAACTCCACAAGCTCCAAATATAAAGAGAGAGAATGAGAGAGAATGTCATTTCCTAATGGAATTCAGTGGAATTCAAACAAATAACAGCACACATACATTGCTTAATTTCTTCTTATATGCTTTAATACAAATAAACCTTTAATTAGCTATTAAAAGTCAGCAGTTTCTTCATAGGTCTAACTTTATTATTGCTTGTAAGTCAAATATGGTCAGGAAAAATGTTTGTTTTTTTTAATATGAAAATTTATTTTGTAGCCAAAATAAAAATACAGGCAACAGGAAAGAACACGCCTAATAGTACAACCTGATCAGTAATTAAGGGAACAATGACACTCACTGGTGTCAGTCCATATGTATATTGTGGATAAGTTATAGGGAAATAAGTTTTATGTTTTTACCCCCTACTCTTCTCCCCTTTGGCTTTTCCCAAAATGATAAAAAGATTTCCACTCTACTTCTTGCTCATTTGTTTTGTGCACTGCGGAATGGGAACAGACCAATGTCGAAAAACACCAACCCACCATGCACAGCAATCAAACCTGTGCTAAAATTCTCTAGAGCAATCTGAAGAAAGCTTTCAAATAAAAATATTTTCATTTGCTTCACAGAAACTCTATAAGGAAGGGCTAGTCTGAGGGAAGAACCCAGGTCTGTTGGACAGCAGAATAGAATTCCTGCTTGAGTATTCACCACCTGAAGCTTATTTCCCAAACCAGAAATATTTTACACTGTACCTCCTGCAATCCCTTATCTGTTGCTGTACCATAGAGTTGGCTGGAAACAGATGTGCCAAGATAAAGTTGATGGAGTAACAGGACTTGCAAAAACCACACTGACCACAGTTCCCAAGCTCGAAAGAAGACTGGAAAAACCATATTTGCACAACAGCTGATACATATTTCAAACAGGAAAGCTTCTGCTATTGAGTGGTATAGAAATGAAATATATTTAGTTGAACTATGAGATGCAAAATTTCCTGATACAAAATTTGCATTTTTGCAGAGAAGCAGTCAGAAAGCAGGTGGTCAAAAAGTAATCAAAGCCATTTGCCCAGCAGAAACCAAGTTCCTGAAGTTCCTACTAAGTCCTCAGTGTAAAAGCCAGAGGTGGTTCTATCTAAATCCTGCTTCCTGCATCTTGAACACATCCATAGCTGTCCACTGAATCAAACATCTATGCACCGTAGATACCTATGGAAAAATAAATCATATCAAATTACCAACAAATCTCAGTTAATAAAGGGACTTATTTTACTTCTGTGAAGTAATGTGAGGCCCACAGTGCAGGCCCACAGAGACATGCACAGCACTTTTTAATTCTGTGTAACTATTCAATTTTTGCTTAATGTTTTTACTTGTATATACAAGTAATATTTTACTTGTATATACTGTCATTCTTTGAATACACAATGATACAAAGGTGGCACAGGGAAACCAAAATAGAAGGAAGTGGGGCACGGAAACAAGATGAGAGAGCCAGTGTGGTGTAGTGGTTAAGAGCATGGGACTGGGACTCAGAGGATCTGGGTTCGAGTCCCCGCTCAGCCATGGAGCCGACTGGGTGACTTTGGGCCAGTCACAGACTCTCAGCCCAACCTACCTCACAGGGTTGTTGTTGTGGGGATAAGATGGAGGAGGAGAAGGATGTAAGCTGCCTTGAGCCCTTTGTAGGAAAAAGGCAGGATATAAATCAGAAAATAAATAAATGAGGAAAATGTTTATTCATATAATATTCAAAAATGGGGGAAAGTCAAGTTGTTAATAATACAAATCAGACCTTCTTATCCTTGAAGTTGCTTTTCACAGTAAAAATACAAAGGTCAGGATAGTTAAGACTGTTCTTCCATATTTCATGTGCACAGGATTCCTCAGAGAAGGCTGGCCTCCACATTCCACTTTAGTCTTACCTTACAATGTCAAGAATGAAGGGCAGGACAATCTTGGCAGAGGCCCCACATCTTGGGGCTCCCTCCCCAAAGAAGTCTTATCAGATAAATGCTTCTGAAATTAGGCATTTTTTTAAAGTCCTGACAGGTCTGAAAGGGTGAACTGAGTTCACCCTTTATAATATAGGGTGATGTTAAATAAAAGAACAAAATAACTTTTTTATTATAAGAGTTCTTTATAATCATCCTGGAACTATATTTCATTTTTAACCTGACACGGCATGGCTGCTTGCTCTGTTTATTGCTTTAACTGGGATTTTACTGTAATATCGCAAAGCATTTTTGTTTTGAAAATAAGGGTTATAAACATTTATTAAAAGTTTCATTATTATTCATGTTGTTGGGAAAGATGCATAAGCATCCTTGTGTTTTGCCCCAAAGGAGGCTTTATTTTTTGCACGCAGCCAAGCACACATACAGGATGTATTGTTTTGCATGCATGAACAGCCACAGGGCACTATACATGTTAGTAAAGATATTAAGCAATTCACATGCAAAGTCACATCCCAAAATAACGTTCAGCAAAACTGTGCAATGTAACGTGATACAGAAAGAAAACCTGCAGATGATTTTATTTCTCTGTGCCTGGCACCTTCAGTTAAGTACCACAAACTCTTGGAATAGTTGAATACAAAATTTCCATAGCTCAGCAGAGTTGACTAAATTTTGTCTGAAAAAAAAATATTAAAGGAATTTGCCTAGGAAAATGTTGTTGTCTTAGTTCCAAAAGAACAACAAACAAGGAACTCAAAAGAGTTTTAAAGCCAAGATGACGCCACACATAAGCCACCTCTGTAATATAGCTGTTCTTTGTATAAGGTAACTTGTCACCCCACATTCAATAGCTGGTTCACATACCAAAAGCTCAACTAGTGCAATAGTCTCTCTAACTCCGGAACAGGAAGTGCTTATTTAAAATACCTTTCAGTGAGTTTCCTGTTCTGGAAGGACTACTGCCAATCTAGAAACATTTTCAGCTAGAGAGAAAGAAAGGCCTTATGTCCTGAGCTGTTTTGGAGTTTTTAGGTCACTTTGAATTGTGCCATGAAACAGTCTTTTTCCATTTCAGAGCTGGAGTAAGAGGCTCCATTTGTATTATAAAATTAATGTATGAAAACAGCCAGGCAGGTTACTCTGAGGAAAATCTTAGCAAGACTATAATTTGTGGGATGGAGCAGGTGGAGATGACAAGTTAGGGATAATGATTAGTATTCCTGCTCCTACTCAGATTTTTTTGTGAGATTTTAAAAATGTTTTTCTTAAAAAACAAATGTCCTGTCAGTGAAACTACAAATATGGGCCATCATTTGAATGTCTTGTTGCAGATCTCACTTGACAGCACAAGGAGGGAAAGAAGCTGTGGGGCTTAGATAAGTCTGCATTTAAGTCCAATGCCATTCTACCAATATTCTGGGAGAGGACTTAAAAAGGGTGCGAGTCCAATGCACAGCAAAGGCACAAAGGCCCAGGCCTGGGGGACAAATTTGACCCTCCTGAGCTTCCAATCTGCGCCTCTGGTCACAAGCTTGTCGCCTGACCACCCCCTCCCAGTCAAACCCCTGATTGTGTGGTGCTTACCTGGAGTTGGTGCCATTTCCCTTCGTCTCCTAAGGCCAAAAGAGTTTTAAGATAAACTCTTAAAGACCTTTTTTGGTATTTTGACCCCATTTCTGTTGCCTTTGGCACCATTCATCACTGGCTTCTCAGAAATGGAAATCTGCCCCTCTGCTAAAACACATTCAACACTTCTTTGAGAAACCTGTAATGTAATCCAGTATTTAAGGGAAATGTTGGAGGGCTTTAAAAGTGATTGCAGCATGAGCAGCAGCTGGGAAGATGGTCTGATTAACTGTTTCCTGGCTATTTGTGCAATCAAATTCCCCCCTTGCCTCCAACTGCTTTCCAGGCCACAGAAGTGCCTATGGGGTGGAGAGATCCCATTACAAAAGGCCCAAAGGAAAGGGTTAAAAGTTTCTGTCCCATTGCCACTGCTACCCTCCACCCCCACTTTTATAAAGTTCCTTGGGTTGTTAATAATAGTGTTTAAAATTCTGTAGCGGCTGTCTGTGTATGTGAGCTCTAGCAGAGCCATTGCTTTAAGCATTAAAAAATCAAGAAGCCGGAGACATTTCTTCTGATAAAGGCCTTCCTCAAAATGCAGTGGGAATTTTATCTCTTGTGCAGCCAGCTTCTTTCTTCTTGGATTTTTTCTGTTGCTGTTATCAATCCATTTGTGTGGATGTTCACACACCTGCTTGACCTCGATAAGCAGCTGTGTTTGGTCTTTCAGTGAAACAAGCTCCCAGCTCCATACTAAAAGTATTTTGGTTCCAGAAACTGGGGGGCGGGGGGGGGGGGAGTCATGGCACTCGAAATGGTTTGATCTATAATTTCCATTTGAGAACCAGTGTGCTATAGTGGTTAAAAGCATGGGACTGGGACTCTGGAGAACTGGTTTCTGGTCTCCACTCACCCATGGAGCCAACTGGGTGATTTTGGGCTAGTCACAAACTCTCAGCCCAACCTCCCTCACAGGGTTGTTGTTGTGGGGATAAGATTGAGAGCAGCAGGAGGAGAACAATGTTAGCCAGCTTAAGTTCTTTTAAAAAGGAAAAGGCAGGATATAAATCTAATAAATAAAGAAGAGATCATAGAAGATGTAGGTCAAAAGATCCAGAAGCCCACAAGTTATCCACCCTGTCCCATGGCCTATTTGCTCTGCTTCTATATTTGGGACTTTGGCCAGAATCCAACCAACACTAGTTCTGAAGTGTCGTTAACAGATGAAATGAAGAACATCTTTGCTCCTGGGTTGGTTACACTTAATCATAACCATCCCAAATTAAAATGAGCTAACCGAATTTTGGTGTGAACTGCATGTGGCTATTATGGAATACAGGCTTTAAAAAATGACTGACAGGAGAAAAAGAAAGCTGACAAGAAAATGTATGCATTTGAAACATGGAGGAATGCTTTGCAAATACTCTGGACTGACAGAAAGATGAACAAG